TGTCTTGCAGTAATGTCTAGTCTGAATCTTCTTTCTGCCACCTTTCTCCATTTGGTTAGAACAACCACAATCTCTGGTTAATTTAAGCTTTAGTGGGTGTTTTGGGATCTAGAATAGCTTGCTAACTGGGAGCAGTTTGCATAATTCTACTCCAAGGGAGCAAGGTTTTGATTTCTGCTACCTTAACTGCACTAGGTGATGTAAAAATCACCACATAGACCTTTTCATTTGAGTTGCAAAGTTCCTCATTACCAATCTTTAACCCACACCTCATCCCCTTGCTTAAACAAACAAATGGGGGTCAGGTGTGTGTGTGTGTCCTGAACTCATTAAACATTTGCCATAACTATTGCAGCATTTTCCCAAAGCAACCATTTCCTGTCTTTTACCTGGGCCCTTCTCATGCTATTCCCCTTTATGACCTTGGGAATGAAGGAGGAGCCTCTCATACAACATTGCAAACGAAAACAGTTCAATGGTTCTGGTGGGAATGCATCTAATATGTACCACTGTTACAACTATGGCTTCAAAGTGTACATTTACACAATGCTGAGTACCTGGGGGATGGCATTGCCCCTGACACTGAGTGTTTTTGGCACAGGTATGACACCTCCTAGCTGAAGCTACTATTGTCAAGAAAGTGAAGACAATCTATGTTTAACTGTCTTTCTAAGAGATTAGCTAGTGCCATTTTCCTGAAATGACTCATGAGTTCCTTTTACTACTTTTCATGCCATGGTTCTGGGGACAATTATTCTTTATCTGGAAAAGCTCACCAACCAATAGAGTTAGCTAAGTCTATTGCACCATTGTCCTGGGCCCATTGCTGTTCTTCTTTATTATAGGTAGGCTGCACACTGGGATTGGGCAAAGGAAGTAGGATAGCCACCTGGAGAGACATGGCATCTGCTTCTTGGCATCTGCATCTGTCCTCTGGTTTCTTTGGCTAAAGGATCCTACCTTGCCCTGTACATTACAACCACCTGTTTTGGGACCCATACAGCTTCTAAGAAATGCAATATCTTTTTCTGAATGTTTGACTGGTTGGCATGCTGCAGTTAAAAGTCCTCTTTCTTTGTAAAGTGCACTATGGACATGTAGTACTGAAAGTACATGCTTTGTATCAGTGTATTTAATAAGCTGAACTTGCAATGGAACATCAGTCAAGTCAGGACAACTGGTATATTGTGTCCATTTCTCAATACAGCTATGATGTTCCTTTTGCAGGAGGGTAGCAAGTTTAAAAGCAGTGCATTGCTGAACCTTTAAGNGTATTTAATAAGCTGAACTCCTTGCAATGGAACATCAGTCAAGTCAGGACAACTGGTATATATTATGTCCATTTTTCAATACAGCTATGATGTTCCTTTTGCAGGAGGGTAGCAAGTTTAAACCATTGCATTGCTGAACCTTTAATGTAAGGATTCACAACAGTGCCTGATGTTTTAGCATTCTTGAGGTGCTAAGCAATCGGTTCCTTTGAGTTCTAACAGTCTATGGTTTGAGTTAAATGCCTGTTGCTACATCTTCCTTCTCAGCAACATAACAAGTGAAGGATTTTGTTACTTAGGCAGGCATAAAGCAGACTGTCCTCAGCACAGACTTTTATTTGCTGAAAGGCAGCATTTTGCTTTTGTGTCCACTAGAAGGGCTCTCTTTCGCCCCCCTTTGTAACTTGACACAAGAATTTGCCAATTACTTCATAGAGATCCAAATTTTACAGAATCTTGTTGCACCTATGRACTTGCATTGGACTTGCTTCCTTGTATTGGGGACTAAGATCTGGCAGATGGCTTGCTTTCAGTCCTATGGCCATCTTTTATATGGAATCCTAAGTATTTGACTTCAGTTTTTGCACGGCTGGGTCTAGGAATTGGAGTGTTTCCTTCAGACTGACTGACAGGCTCCTGGAATCGGCTGTACTATTTCCGGAGATATGCATTTGGCTATTCCGGGGGGCTTGTTTTCTGCCCATACCTCAGGAGTTTCAAACTTTTCTCCTATTCATTTTTCTCTGAGCCTTTTTAAACTACTAGCAGCCTCCACCATGGGACAGGTGAGGTGCAAAAGGCTTGTTATTTTCTAAAGCCATCTTAGCAAATTCATTTTCTTCAAAGAATAATATTAGACTTTGTTTGCATGGCAAGTCACTTCCCAGCAATTGAACTGGGCAGTTAGGCATATATAGAAAACTGATGGTAACTTCTTTTGTTGCTAGCTGACGTTTTATTCCTCTTTCTTTCTTTCTTTCTTTCTTTCTTTCTTTCTTTCTTTTCTTTCTTTGGAAAGGAGGTAGGCATTGATCTTCAATGGCTCCCATGAGCTTTATGGCTTTCTGGGTTACGGTGCCACTGGTATCACTGATTTCTTCTGCTCTTATGTCTACCAAAAATGTTTTCTGGGATCCTACTATTTCCTTGAATAGGGATCCTAAGGTTAGAACTCTTGACTGACTTGAGTCTTCTGCCTTCTTCATTGGGGGCATTTGGCCAATCCAATGATTTTTTTTTCCTAAGCTGCTTCTGTGACTCTTGATAGAAGGGCAGCTCTCTGGGTCTTCCTATCTGCCCCTGGTAGCCTTTTTCTCTTCCACTCATCATC